TCTCTCGCACGAGTTCGTCATCCAGAATCATGCCGACATTGTCAGCTGCCTGGCGATGCTCATCGTCATTGGCCTGCTCTTCCAGGCGACTGCCCCCTTTTGTCTCGCCTTTGTCGCCCTCCAGCACAATGCCACCGAACGTAAGTATTGGGCGTGCTGGGAGTTTTGGGAGTTTGAAGTCGACAAATTAAAACCTTTTTACCCCCTTTCTCTTCAACAGCTCTGGTCACCCCGCTGGGCACCGTCATCTCCTACACCACCGGCGTGAAGGACCTCGCCATTGTCTTCTTCTACTTTCTCATCTCCATCGTCATTCACGCCGTTGTCCAGGAGTATGTTCTCGATGTAAGCTTGAGAAGATTTGAGAAAACTTTTTTGTTTCAAACTAATCACCTCCTTCTCTCTTCAGAAAATCACCCGCAAGCTTCACCTCTCAAAGACAAAGCACTCCAAGTTCAACGAGTCCGGCCAGCTGCTGACCTTCATTCTGGTGTCGCTGGTGTGGGCGGCGGAGGTGATCCGTCGCGAGGGCTACCTCTTCTCGATCACGCGCATCTGGAGCGAGTACCCCGCCCGGCACATGGAAATGTCCTACCTCCTCAAGTTCTACTTTGTCATTCAGATCGCCTACTGGCTGCACCAGTACCCGGAGGTGTACTTTCAGAAAATCAAACGGGAAGAGGCCGGTCCCCGATTTATCTACGCTTCGCTTTACCTGATCTTCTTCACTGCCGCCTATGTTTTGAAGTGAGTTGACTTGGAAAAGAAGTTTTTGTATTTTTATTTTAACCGATTTCGAAACTTTCTTTCATCAGTTTCACCCGCATTGCCGTCGTCCTCTCGGTGCTGCACTACAGCGCCGAGGCTCTCTTCCACATTTCCCGACTGTTGCACTTTGCCAGCAAGTCTAAGGTGGTCAAGTACACGTGAGTAAATGTTTTCTGACTTTAGTGTTTGTTTACTGAGCCCTTTACATTGCCAAACAGCTTCAACACCTGGAACGTCCTCTTCCCACTGGTCCGCCTCCTCACCGTCTCCCTCTCGGTGACCTTCTTCTACTTTGAGCTGCCGGAGAATGCCACCGCCACGAGCGACTCGCCGGGCAACTACAACACGCCCCTTGTTCGGTGAGTTTAGCAGGAAAAATCCCTCTTGTTTTGCAAAAAAACAAAAACTTATTAAATCTTTTATTTTTTAGCCTCACCTCAATGACGGGCATCGGCTTTCTGCAGGCGTGGATGATGTGGAACTTCATCACCTTCCACCTGCGCCGCAAGCGCGAACGCGACGCTGAAGTAGCCCGTCGCAAGAAGAACCAGGCGCTGAAGTTGGCCGCCCAGAAGCGACAGGCCGCGGAGTCGGACGAGCTGAATGAGCTGCCCGAAGCTGATCGGTCGCCCCTTTCCACGCCCTCTCCGGTGACCAAGAAGAGCGCCAAGGCGGCAAGCAAGCTGAAGGTCAAATAAAAAACTGAGACTGAATTGACTGACTGAAACACACACACACACTAAATCACCGACCCTTGAAAGAATGATAATCAAAATAGACTTCTTTTTCTTCTATTTTATAAAACCACCTAATCTGTTACAACTAACGACATTCACTGGTTTTCGACCGATCACTTTGACCAATCCAAAGTTGAAGACCAAGCCAACCCAAAACTTTTCTGTTTTCTCCTGCTGTTGTTTTTGTTGTTGTTCACCGCCACCGCCGATTTTAAGAGCTGCCTCATCTGGCCACTCTGAACTTCCCACCATCATCTTCTTTTTCTTCTTCAACAATTCCATATCATCCTCTCCACCACCAGACCAACAAATGATCAAATACACACACTCACAACTATTGTTAAATACCAGCTTCTCTATCTATATATTTTCCGTTATTGCTTTTCGTAGCATTTATCACTCCCCTTTTTTCCAAACTCAAAGTACAAACACACCGACACCGATTTTAAATTTTTTATTTTTAAAACCTTGACACTAACCAAAAACCGTTGCCGATTACTGTTTTGCTGTTATCCCCTTTTTGCCGTTTTTCTCACTTNGACCAAGAAGAGCGCCAAGGCGGCAAGCAAGCTGAAGGTCAAATAAAAAATTGAGACTGACTGAATTGACTGAAACACACACACTAAATCACCGACCCTTGAAAGAATGATAATCAAAATGGACTTCTTTTTCTTCTATTTTATAAAACCACCTAATCCATTACAACCAACGACATTCACTGGTTTCTAACCGATCACTTTGACCAATCAAAAGTTAAAGACCAAGCCAACCCAAAACTTTTCTGTTTTCTCCTGCTGTTGTTTTTGTTGTTGTTCTACCGACACCGCCGATTTTAAGAGCTGCCTCATCCGGCCACTCTGAACTTCCCACCATCATCTTCTTCTTTTCTTTTTTTCAACAATTCCATATCATCTTCTCCACCAGCAGACCAACAAATGATCAAACACACACACACCCCATTGTTAAATACCAGCTTCTCTATCTATATATTTTCCGTTATTGCTTTCTGTAGCATTTATTACCCACCCCCTTTTCCAAACTCAAAGTACAAACACACCGACACCGATTTTAAATTTTTTATCTTTAAAACCTTGACACTAACCAAAAACCGTTGCCGATTACTGTTTTGCTGTTATCCCCCTTTTGCCGTTTTTCTCACTCTCACTTTCTCACTCTGATCACATACTCAATCTGCCCACATTACTATTAGCAATATCTCCTCTAGTACAATAATTCTGTAATTCCCTCTATTAACTTCACCACTGAAACTAAATGTACAAACACCTTTTTCAGACTTCCTAAACGGATGCTTCGGTTTTTGAAAGTCTGAAAGAAGAGCCAATTTTGCAATATTATTATTGTTTCCCTCCCTTCCTTGTTTCTGTTCTGAACTAAACAAAGTTATCAAAACAACTCTGAACAAAGTGTAAGTACAACACATTTTCATCATCCTCATCACACTTTCTTCATCATTCTCTCATCATCCTCATCACCACCATCACAGAGCATGTAATTATTATCAACTCAAATATTTTTATGTGCTTTTTTATTCTGAAATTTTTATTTTTCTTCTCTTTTTGTGCATTTCCAATTCTTTTTCTCTTGTTCTTCTCTCTCCTTGTATTTGCTTCTACTGTTCATTGACTATTATGATTTTTGAATGATTTAAAGCACAAATACAAAGTTGAAGTGCATTTTAAAGTTTTTCCTAGTTAGAGACATGGTTTTGGCGTGCGAAACTAGATTAAAACGTCTTCCACCGCGCAGTAGTGATCTGTTCAGTAGTGGATTCCTTATCGGCGAGATTTTTAGGTGCTTATGAAAAACATTATTCGAAAACTTTTACTGGCCTTGAAGTTAGAAGAATAAAGAAAAATAGTGAAAAGTTTATGTAAAAAGTTACATTTTTCTGTTTAGAGCTTGAAAACAGCTTTCTGATACAAATTGGTGAAATAAATGCTAGGAAAGTGGTAGTCAGTGTCCTCAACAAAAGCAACAGTAGCAGCAACCTTCAACGTGCCGCAACTTTTGCACAACCGCTTATAAATAGACTTGTACAACAGCAGTGTTTCCAAACCGTCTGAATTATGACTTTTAATTTCCTAAAAGGTGTGCTGCTTTTGTTGTTATTTGGCCTACACCGGAAGACGGCAAGGTTACAAGCAACAACAACACCACAGTGCTCAATTATCCAGTCCAGTTCAATCAGTTGAATCAGTCAATGAAGCATATTGAGCAAAAGGGCTGTTCTTTTGTTCATTTAAAGTATAAAAGTCGACAGGCGAGAAAAAGACCTTTTGCACTTTCTCTACAACTTTCTAACCAACCAAAAAGAAAGACTTTATCTTTTTCCTCCTTTTATCACACGCACACGCACATATCATGAAGCTCTACGCAGCGATCTGTCTGGTAAGAATGCAGTAAAAAGAAAAACTCCAAAATACCTCTTCACTAGTGACAATTTGTAACAGAACTTAATTTTCTTCTACCTCCTCTTGAAGCTGGTCCTCATTAGCTGGTCCTCATCTGTCCACGGAAAGAAGGACACCAAGGGCAAGAGCAAGATGGCCTCTACGATCACCGACCGGTGCATCTACCCAATGTGCAGCAGCACCCAGTTGGTCGGCTACGACAAGTCGGTGATCAGCACCTTTGAGTCCTTCAAGCCGGTGCTGACGGCGGCCATCAAAGAGCAGCTGGTGTACGCCTTCGAGATCAAGTATCTGCAGCAGGCGTGGTCCTTTGTCTACCGGTACCTTCGAAAGGCCAACGACGTGGGCTACCTCTTCAACTTTGACATTGTGGTTAATCCGACTGCGGTGTACGGCTTCGGGAAAGCGGACGAGCTCCACCGGTACTGCTTCTGCAAGTCGATGATCACCACCACCAATGTGACGGCGGAGAAGGCCAAGGTGGAGTACGTCCACTGTGAGCACTGCTACTTTAACCAGAAACCCAAGAGCAAGTAGAAGGGTAAAAGAAGGAGCCTGTTTTGCTTTGATTATATTATTTATTTATTGCTTGTAATAAAATGGTCCAGAATATGTAATAATCCACTATCAATCAAAAGTTGAACAAGATATGAAGCAAACGAATAAATAAAAGGGCTGGTGCTGAACTGAAAATGGTGATGTGCTACTTTTTGCTCGAGTCATTATCTTTGGTCACATTCACAGTGATT